ACTTCACTAATTCATGTCCACCTTCATTAAGTAACACCATTTCTTAACCAACTCTTCAAAGAATGGAGCAATGAAGCAGTGAAATTCTTGGAATCATTGCCCTTTCCCTCTACCTTTGTTGCCATTTCTTCTCTTTTACGTTAAACGTAAAACTTGATTCTTCGAAAAATATATACGGCAATTTGTCATGCAAGAAACACCTTAATTGATAATCTTGATCTCATACAAACTAGTGATTGACATGACGTCGAGTAGAGTTAAATACGGTAAATTAGTGCTTAATTTCAAATCAAGAAATTCAATTCTACAAGTATAGTATTACTTTACATCATGCGTTCGCACTTTTTATAATTGTTGTGAAAAGTAAGACGATAATCCTCATCGTTAAGAAGGTAGGGAGGGCACTAAATTGTGTGGCAATTTCATGTTGCACAAGTAATTGTACAAAATTTTTTATTTCAAATATTTTATAAAAATACAAGATGCTTTCTCATTTATATAAATTTTCATTTTTCGATTTCAAAGTTCTCTGTTAATTGCTTATTTCTACGAGATTTTTCAAATTGACACACTGTGAAGCTTTGGTTGGCACGCACTATTTCACTGTTACAATTATCATCTTGTGTGAAATGTAGTTTGTAACATAATGTCTACTAGTGTTTGACATTTGTGATTATCTAACAATGTGACAAGTATTGTCACTATTTGTTACAATAATTGACATGCTAATTTTAAAATATTAATTGATTACTAATATATGTTCACACTAACAAAAATGATCAAACTTTGAATTCGAACAAATTTTGAAGGAAATAACTTGTGTTTCGTGAATTCAAACATTGTATGGTTAAAAATGAATTTGAGGAAAAATAATTTTCAGATAAAATGAATCAAACAAAAGCTTAGTGTGTTTAGGTTTCATAATAATCTACTTATAAGGATATTATAAAAAGAGGAATAATTAGTTACATGAAATGCGTAGACAATAGGAGTAATATAGTTTTGAAACATGTAATTGAAATTAAAATTTGACTGAAAAATGTATAAATTATTTATAATAAAATCTAATGTTCTCAATCATTAACGTCGACTTATCGACGAGCTTTAAAAATTTATAAAATAATGACTTTATAGACTCAACTGTGCTTTTGAATAAAGTCATTTGTACAATATTTATGTACAACTTGATTGATAATAAGTGTGCAGAAAAACTTCTGACCATTAATTTTAAAAACAATTTTTTCGAATAAATGGATGTTATGTTTGCCAACTCATGCATTGTAAATTAAGTTATAAAATAAATTGTACAAGTAGCATGATTGTATACTTTTCAACATATCCTCATTCGATGGCCCATTTCATTGAATTTTTTCAACAAAGGTGTCAAATCAAATAAAGTGGTATGCCCAAATCAAATTATGAGGAGGAGAAAACAATAAATGCGTGTAAGAATATTGAACTACTTAAGGACACTATTATTGAATCTCTGCAATAGTATCTTCGTTTAGCATTTAATTCAGAAATTGAAGTTGATTCACACAAATCACAAGTACCCGTGAAACTTCATGGGCATGTTTGGGAGCGATTTCTCCTCCTAAAATATTGATTTTTTGACCGTTATTTCATTATTTTAGTCGTCATATTTGACTTATTTTTTCACAGGTGGACCCCACTTTTCTCCTAACGATAAAAAAATCAATTCTCAAAATCAATCCCAAACATGCTCTATATTTCATTTGTACAATATATCAGCACAACATCTTAAATACTTTGGTACACCTATATCTCTTCAACTTGTTTTATCAAAATCGTAGGCATTTTTTTTTTAAATTTGCGTTTGTTTCTTATTTTTGTAAAAATGAGAATGAAAAATATAGTCGTTATGGACCCCATACAAAAGATAGAAATTCAAATTTGATAACTTGATGTGATGGATAACGATCATATTTTTCGATTTAATGGGGGGGAAAATGGGAAACAAACAGGAGCTTAATGATCCATGCAATTTGTTGTTACAAGAATTCGCAATCGATTAAGTTTCTTTTAATTCATCCTCATGTATTCTCACTTTTATTTTATCCGGAACACCTTGACCTCTCAACAACTCAATATCTAAACCTGTGCAATATATTGGCTTTAATTAAAGAAGTAGGACTTGAACTCAAGATATTTGCTTCTTCTAATACCATTATGAACCATTTGATCTATTTTATAACTTCTAATATTTTAAAAATGGATTTTGACAAACACTTGAGAAAAGTCCGAGTTAAGATTGAATTGGTAGTCGAATAAATAATAGTAGTTTAAAAAAATCTGATTTAAATTAAAGTTTAATGATCAAAGTGACACTAAGTGAAAAGTTCAATGGCCATTAGTGAAAATTACCCCCGTGAGAAAAATATTCTGCCCGTATTTGGTATATACTAAAATTTAGTCATGTTTGGTATTTGATTTAAATCAAATTTTAATCTGAATTAAAGTCAAACAATTAATATTAACCACATATTTCAAGGGTCTTACAACTTTTTAACACACATATCAAGAACTTTTATCAAAATTACTTAAAATATAATTTTAATTCTCACCAAATAGGAGCTAAATTTTAATCTTAAATCAAAGTTAACAATTAATTTTTATCGCACATCTCATTGAAGCCACAAATTTTCAATCACATATTTAATCAAATTTTATCAAAACTTACTAAAATATTGATTTTAATCTACACCGAATATGGACTATTTAAAATTCGAAGAGGTGGGACCAACCGAGGACCTGATATACGAATTAGTGAACTGTTAAGGGCAATATTGCAATTTATTCAAGGGCAAACATCAAGCCGTGGAAATTAGTATTTTAATAGACCGGTTTAAGCCGGCCGAGGCAGTGCTCAAGCTCCTATAACAATTTGTCTCTCTCGCCGAAGACAAACAAATTATCCCCTTCCACAAAACGCCAATCCTATGCCCAATTCATTCAAATTTCAAAACCCAAAATATTTAAAATACGTGATTGGTTCAATTACAAATCTTTAATATGTCACAATTAAGATATTTGAATTTGATAATCAATTTCATACCCAATTCTAAATTCAAACACAACTTTGACTTTAGTAATCGTAGTAATATTGCTTTGCTCACATTGAGGTAAAAATTAATTTTGTATTAATTATAAAATTTTTTGAAAATTTTAAAGTGGTACACCTTTATAAGGTTGTATAGTCTTCATGCATTATGCGACCTTCTTATTTTACTGAATTTTTATTTTTAAAATATGAGTGATGAATAAGTAAATAGTACTTGTGGATTCCAAGAAATATGTGGTTAAAATTAATATTTAATTTTGAAAAGTAACTTTTTAGTATAAAAATGAAAATGAAGGGCCTTGCCACATGTATATTAAGGTTTACATAAGAAATTACGTAATGTTCAAGTGATATTTTGCCATTTGTCAATTTAAAATACAATCAACTTTTTCATCAAATATTTTCATTCTATGACATTTTTCAGTAGCTGCTTAGATACCATTTTTATGTAAAAATAGCGAAATCTAAAAATGAAATCCAAATACGTCTTGGTGCAAGATGATTGTCTTTCGAATGTGGACGTATCTTTTTTGAACGATGATTTAATTTTATTTCTTTTTGTTCAATGGTTCGACTAGTTAAACTGACTATCTTTAATGTAATGGAAGTCGCTAACTTAGATCATGAGTCTTTGCATTAAAAAGACTCGTTTGTTTTTGTCTTGTTTTGATAATAATGAGAGTGATAGTGTCAAAATAAATAATTTTCTTTCACACAAAAAGCAAGGCCATAGGTAAATATGCTAAAAATAAACAAAATCTTCCCATTGTATATGTGAAGTATATTTACATTTTGAGTCATTCTTCAACTTCAATTTCAATTGCCTAAAGCAATCAAACATCCTTCCATATGTCAACGGAATAGTAAATCATACAAGTCAGAGCATACAAGAGGGCAGATTCGTCACAAGAGAATATTATTAGAAAATTGCATTATTAGTGCTCAACTTATTTTTCATATAACACATTGATCTCTAATATTTTAAAAAGAGCAAATTATATGCCTCTCTTTGTCTTTCTCTAAAACAAAGCTCTTTCATTCTCATACTTATTTTCAATTATAAAATCAAATAATAAATATTTTGCAAGTAAATTCAATTTTTTTTTTCTACTTTTAACTATATATTCTTAAAAAAAACTATTCATTTTTTTTTTAAATAAAGACCACCAAACATGGACACATATAAACACATTGGTTTATACTGTACAGATTCATTTTGGTAGATTGATGCCAAATTTATACTTAGCAATTTGTGATTGGATGATTGAAAAATATTTTTGACATAACTGCCAATGATATCCTACCAAGTATGAATCTGACAAAATGAATCTGTACATGTAAAATATTTCAAAAACATTTTTCATATCAAATTTTAGGCACATTAAGTTGAGAAAAAAATAATTTTTAAAGTTAAGCCCTAGTTTAGTTTGCCCAAAGATCATGCTTTTAATATATTTTGATAAAATGTATGATTAAAAAGTTTATAAAAATTATGTGTTTCATAAAATTTGTAGTTAAAAATAAGATTGAAGAAAAATATATTTTTAAAAAATTGGGACCAAACATGGGCTAAATATATGAGTGAGTGTCATACAAATGACATTTCGGTTGTTGGGATTGTTCTATTACCAATCATGTTATTTGTACAATGAATTTGATAATAAATTTGACAATGTGTGAGTTGGCAAGCATAATATTCATTGATATGAAAAACTATTTTTATATTCAATGGTGAGGATCTTTACGCTTTACACATTATCAAACTCATTTTACAAATTTACTGTACAAATAGATTAATTCATATGTTACTCATTGAATAGGTTGGTGACCAAAAATGCAAAAATTAAATGCTAACGTTATCTCTGCAGTCGGATCCTCTATTCAAATTTTCGGATCCGCCTCTCAACCCCTTCTCTTCTGTCAACGTACACACAATAGCCCGTCTCTATCGTACGCCATTTTATTTATTTATTTATTTATTTTTTCCATTTCTCATTCCATTCCTCTCGCATTTCAAGAATCAAGAAAACGGCCATTTTCGCTTTAATTCTCCGCTTTTTCCGTCATCGATTATTTTCGAGAAAGAAAGAGAAATCTTCTTTGCAGACGCGCATTGGAGGGCGAGAAGATAATGGAAGAAGAAATGATGGAGGATGGTAATAACAGTAATGTTATGGATGAGGAAATGGAAGGGAGTTTTATGGACAATGAGATTGATTTTGACTACGAGTTCGACGCGGCTCGGTTCTTCGACTTCAGCAGAGCCGAGTCACTGGCCGAGACTCGATATGCCGAGCTCTGGTTCCAGTCTGCCGGAAGCTATCCGCCTTCTCGTATGTTTTCTATCAAATTTCTTTAACTTTGTTTTAGTATTTATATTTTCGTATCTAACAGTTTAATATCGTGTGTTGTACGTTATGTTTTGATACTTGCACCTTGCTTTGGCATTTCCGTTCCCTCATTTGTCTCCGTTTATGATTTATAAAATTAGTACAGACTACTGAGGATGTTGTTTTCTTCAATCGTGAGAGAATAAGTACAAAGTGAGCATGTTTTGTAAAGCTTAAAAATAGTTTTTGGTTTTGGAAGATTTTACATATGATATTAATTCTGTTTCAAGTAAAAGAAGTTACTTATTATTAGAAGATACACACTTATTTTCAATTTTGACAGATATAAAAGGCTGTTTATGTTTAAATTTACTTATAATAAAACTTTTTAAGCTTAGCCAAACATGCTCTGAGTTCCTACTAGCATAAGTTAGTTATATGAAGTTTGGTTTTGTGTATCTTAATATTAGGCAATATTTGGAGATGAAAGTATTACAAGCAGCATAATGATAGTCAAAATATGTGAAGTTTTTTCTCGAAATGTGAGAAAGTAGTTTTTTCGTATTCTTGACGAGTGCCAAAATTTTTATGATCTGTGAAGATCGAGGTACTACGAGCGACATATTTGTATTTTGCAATGTGTAAATTTTTTTTCTTTTGCGCCTTAGATTTTAGAAATTAGTGCGTTCACAATGCCAGAGAGTTTGGAACAAATTTTGAAGCTTAAATTTATTACTATCATTATTTTGTTGAATGGTGTGTTGGTTCTTATACCTTGCTATGACATTATCCTCGTCACTTGTCTTTGAAATTTTTTCGGTTTAGTAGTTTTATTTTTTTTCATTTTATGTTTCTCTGAGAAAGATAAATTTTTTTTATACCTATCCGAAAACAATTGTAATATACTTTCTGGAAAATATTTCCAACAGCAATTTAGTTGTCATGCTTCTGTGGAGAACATAATAATATCTGGATGGCCAAAATGTGATATACTTATTGGACGTGGGGATGTCAAAATGCTGTAATTGTGGTGAACTGTCACTCTGTGTTTCTCATGCTTGCTAATTTTCTCCACGATTTGTTGTTTTATAGCCTTGAATTCACATTGCCTTGGTGATTTCTGTTCCAGCTTTTGTGGCAAGGTTAGTTCAAAGAGAAGACATCGCATTGGAGAGTATTAATACCTCCCCAAAACCTAAAGATGTGGAAATCATGAAATTATCGGATAGCAAAACTGATATTGAAGCTCACCAAGAAATTTCTGCTTTAGACATGAATTGTGTAGCATATGGACAAGGTGAAGTTCAAGGTTAAATAAGCTTCTGTAAAAGCATTAGAGCATTGAAATATATTTTCAACCTGATGATAGATAATTACTATTTATACTCAACATATTTACTTATAAAAATTATGGCTACTACATACAAAATCTTTAACCCATTCACTCACTTTGTCATTTTATTTTTTCTTGAAGAAAATGAAGGAAAAGATGGACCAAATTCCACAAATTTGCAAGTTAATAGCGTGCAAATGTTTCAGAATCTATTAGAGAAATTACCCTCAGGTGTTGTTTCCTTTATGATGATTTATTTTTGAAACAACAACATTCAATTTTGTTTCCATGCTCTTCAATCTTCATTCTATCTTAATCCATTCTGCCTTCTACTTTGTTTTATATTCTGCATTAAACTTGATGCTCTGTATTTTATAATAGAGCTAGGATATACTATCTTATTTGCATCTAGAATTTAGGTTTTTGTTTTCCTAACGTTCTGCCCATTTGTACTTGCAATGCTATATCTATGCAGGGTTGAACTTTTACAACGATATGGTGAATAATACTTCAAGTACTAAAACAAAATTACCAGTGAAGCAATCGTTCCCAAGGATCTCAACTCTTATGAAGCCAACAGTGAGTCAATTGGCCAAGCAAAATCGACCTCTCCAAGCTGGTGACTTCAGGTGACCAATTTTTTCGAATTCTTTATTATTGGTTGGATTTTTATTTTAAAAAGCTTAGAATGCTTTAAAAATATTGACGACCTTGTGCTTTGTGTTTGTTCATGTTTATTATTATTATTTTAAAAGTTAATCTTGTAAGTAAAACATTTGAATTTTGTGCAATCAAATGTCATTGGCATTTTCTTTGTTGAAATTGATAAAAACTTGTTACTCGTTTTATTTAACATAATTATATTGTAAGTGTACGGTGTCAAGTTTTGTAATATAATAATGAAGTTAGAATGTCGAAGCCATAGGGATTGATATTTAATTTCTACCAAGTACTATAATTGTGTAACTCTTATTTTATTTAGATGAATGAAATTTGGAATCAATAGTATTAACTAAGTTAACGTGATGAATGTGGTGACGAATTCGACAAATAAATGAAAGTTAGAAGAATAATCAAGCTGAGAAAGCCTAGGGTTATGATTTTACTTAACTATCAAATATGGTTTTTAATTATATAATTATTTCTAATCAATTTTTTCAAGTTTATAAGCAAAAACCCTAATTTAATTCTACTCTCTTTTGAGTGCCGAGTAAAAATTATTCATATATTTCAATTCCAAGATCTCTATTTTGAGTTAAAATCTAGAAATTATCAAGTTCGTGATTCTTATGTGGAACGTGCTTCAAAGGAATTACACTTCCTCTCAAATCTTATAATTTCGTAGGTTATGTTATTTTATGATCATGCCTAAATTTTGCTTTCTTGAGTGTCAAAATGACAAGCATCCAATCATTCAATTAGTGGCCAATCAATTGAAAGTATTAAGAATAAATAACACGAATAAACATGATTGGAAAATCTTAAAGAATTAATTATAATAAAATCAAACCATATTTTCAAGTTTTGGTTATATCAAACCCTAGATTAAATGTTTAGTTCATTACTAAAGCCATAGAAATAATCAAGTTCAAATAAAACAACATAGAGAAGAGAATAGAAAAACTAATTTTGGTAGATCTCTAATCTCCTTTGCGATGTTCTTAATTTCTCCTTGATTTTTTTATTATTGCCCAGTTCAATTGTGCTTGAAAACTGGCCTCTAGATTAGTAATTATGCCTTCTTGAAATCCTTGGATGAGTTGAATTAAAATTGGGCTTTTGAAAGATAAATTGAACTTGAAAAACTATAATTTTATTCGGTACAATGCCCAGACTGGTCTCCTGGGCTCCGCAAATCTTTCATTTTTTAGGCACCCACTTTTGGGAAAAATTCAGCACTACACATTTTTCAGTATTTTTATTGTAACTTTCTCTTCCGATATTTAGTTGAGGCAATTAAAAGTGCATTGAAAAGATAATTCAAAGAGTTACAATTTCACCAGAACTTTTATTTTTTATATTTTATTTTTATTTTTTCAATTTGAACGTTTATTATGTCGAAAATGGGTCTTAATCTTTGGCTAAAAGTCGGGTTTATACTTGTGTGGTTGAAAATTGTTTTGTGAAAATATTTTGATCATATTTCACTCCCTTTTGACTTTTAATTATATCCGATTGACTCTTAGCAATCTTCAATTTTCGTTTTGTGGTCTGAATCAACTATTGAAAAGTTGCAATTGAGTCTTCAACTTTGTACTTCACCATTTTTCATTGTTATTCACTTCTTTCTTTTAATTTAGCTTCCAATCATTGAGTGTTACTTAATCAACATCAACTTCTCCTTGATTCATGTCAACATCACTCTTTTCTCCAAATTCGTTCTTTTCTCCAAGTTTTGCATCATTCACACCAATTCACCTGACCTATAAAACAATACGAAAGCACAAACTTTCCAAAATTCAAAGAAATAAACTAAATATCAAGATTAAAATGGTATCAAGAGAATGAGACTCATCAGAAATTAGTATTTTTTTTTGCTAATGTGTATCTAGGTTCTATTAATCTATCAACTTTTGCCTTTATATGAGAAGAAATGAACACCTTGTGAATCACGTGGGGGGACCACAATCGTGGGAAATTTGCATGTAGCATGACACGGATACGTGTGTTACTGAATATGGTTTTCTGATTGCTAGGTCAAAGAAGTCTTTTGTGGAGGGTCACCCTTGCGGGATTGAGAATCAAGCTGCTAAAAGACAAAAGCTTGAGGGAGGTCACCTGCGGAAGGTTCAGGTTTATCCTTTTTTTAAAATGTGGCTTGTTATGAGGTTGGCATTGTTCTATGGCCTGCCTTTTGAACCTCAGAAAAACTGAATGCCATATTATGGGAGCTACCCAGTGATATGACAAAATTTCTTAGAAGTTGGGGCTATAATCGTTTTCTTATTTATTTTCTTCAGTTTTTCACGTGTGTTCGGAGTGGATACATGGTTATTTAATAATATTTTTGTAATTTCTATTCCCATGTAACGCTTCTGAATATCTCTATGTGACAGGTTGTGGGTGCAGTTCAGCAAACTAGTTTTGTTCATAAGGCACCTAAGCAGGTAAGCCACTTACTTCTGTAAGCATGACTCAGTTTTGTCAAATAAGAGAATCTATATTTGGGTAACAGAAGAATTCTCTGTAAGGGCATCTGTCATATCCCTAATATTCAGAGACAATGTTGTTTGTTAAACTTGCATACTGCCAAAGTCTGTTGAAAGGAAGCTCTAGCAATGTACAAATTGCAGCTATAATGATCTAATGCGTCATCTAATTAACCTTGGCATGGAATTACCAGAGGAAAGGGGACAATGACAAGACATTTTGTTCCATGTTTTCTTGTGGATCTGAGTTCTTTCAAATGATTTTACAGGTTGCTACTGTCAATGGAAATATGATGCAGGCTAATTCGAGGATCACTATTCCTAGAGAACCTGATCTTGAAACAGCACATAGGGCACAAAGAATAAGGTCAGTTAAGACGACAGAATCCAGCTGCACTTCTGCTTTTTTATTGTCAAAGAAGGATTTTCTTCTTACTAGCTCTGGGATGCCCTGTTTGATCGATTGATTTTCAGGCCAAAAGCTAGAAAAGAAGCTGAGAATATGACTTCAGCTATTCATGGATTCAAAGCTCTTCCATTAAATAGAAAAGTCAGTAACCTGTTCAGATATTGACGATTTTGACTTCTGTATTATATTAATTAATCATTTTTAGATATATCTGCATCTTTCAGATTCTTGAAGCACCTTCACTGTTGCTTCCGAAAAGAAGCACTCCTCAGTTGCCAGACTTTCAAGTGAGTGAGCCTGACATTAGCTTTCCAATCCAGCAGATTGATTATGGTACATTGAAATAACTTGCATGGCTGAATTTTTCCTCCATTATACTGGTTTCAGGAATTTCATTTGAAGACTTCAGAGAGGGCTATGCACCATTCCTCAGCAGTTTCAACATCCATTCTCCCTTGCAGCAGTTCTGATAAGGTTATGTCTCTGATACTTTATATATTACAATTGTGCTCCAAAAAATCATGAAAAAAAAAACTCATCCATTATTTCCCATTCATTTCAAAACATTAATGACTATCTTGTAATTAACATGTTCTCAAATATGCTTCACAAGTTTGGAGTGTGCAGTCCATTCCCAGAGAGGGAAGAGGGTGGATTTGATGGAAGAATAATCATTAACTAAGCTGTCGTTTTGGTTTGGGGTTGCTTGGTGGTGAATTGGCTCTAAATATGATATAAAATAATAATGTCAATGGTAGTTGGGAAAATGTTCTATTAATTTGTTTTATCATTGATATGTTAAACTTTGTCTTGTTGCAGGCCTTGCATGAACCTAATGCGAATTCATGCATGGAATCCGCAAACGTAGAATCCAGAAGGTAATAATGCTTTAACAAACCTTCTGTCTTTGTTTAGCAATTTTTATGTTGTGTGATCATTAGTGTGTCAATATTTTTTGTACAAATTTGTGGCACTTTGATTGTTAAAATGACATCCTTTCACTGTCCTATTACCCTCCAATATTATGTATTTTTCATTCACCTCTTTTAGGTACATCCATGGTTAAGCCAGGGAGTTTTGGTTTCAACTTTATAAATTATGCTTGCTTACCAAACGTCTTCTGGGTCCTATAGTCCTTTCTAGTCCTTGCAGATATTTGAGTTCTGTTTAATTCTGCCTTTGGGTTAATGGGTACAATAGTGCATTAAGTGGGATAGTTTGTCTCTTCATTAGGTCGAATCTGATGGATGCTTTACGGCCGGAAGGGCTTGAGTCTTCTTATGGCTTTAAAGCTCTCCCTCTTAATCAAAAGGTAACTTTTTCAATATCTTTTGTTTGTGGTAACATTATGTCCTCCAGATAGTGAATACAACTTTTGCGTCATGCAGATACTGTCAAGCAAAGGAGATATTGGAGTTTTCCGAAATTATAAGAAGGAAATTACAGTGCCAATGGTAGTTAGCATTTGAAACTTGATTCTAGTGCTTTTCGAACTGATAATTCTAGAACACCATAATCAGTATAGGTTTTTGCCTTTACCACAGGAATTTAATTTCCAAACAGAGAAAAGGGTTCAACATAACCCACCAATTGAACTCTTAAACAAGGTAAATTTGATAACTACCTATGTACTTCATAGATCGTCGTAATGATCTCTCCATCAGTGCTGTGCTTGAAATTGTATTAAAGAACTATGAACCCTACCTCTATTTTTGTAATCGTTTGGCACAAACAAGAAGAGGTGCAGTTCTACGCTCCTTAATTTTGCAACTATCAAGTGCATCCACGAACACTTCTTGTTATGCTCTAAGCAATTAAATCATTGAATGATTGGGCTTCTGGTGACACTTCTTCCCTCTGTTTTGAACTAGCTCTCTCTGGCATCTGACCAACTTCCCTCTGTTTTGAACTAGCTCTCTCTGGCATCTAACCAACCAACTGCTGGTTCACAGACAAAAGTGCCATTGCCATACAACAGCATACCTATTAAGGTTCCATTTATTCGTTCTTATTCATAAATTCATTATTACTTAACATTTAAAGAATACGAGGTACTTCATTTTGACGTTCTTGATTGAGTATTTATTTTTTGTCACAAGGGTTCAAAAGAGAATAGATGGAGTTCCTTCCAGCAAGAACGTGAGGTAACATATTCTTGTACTCTAATAGCCTTAATGAAGTGGTCGAGTCTCTTGTGTGAATTTTTTTAATCTCACCAGTCATAGTTATAAGCTGTTTCTCTTGCGTCTTTAACAGATAAAACTAGTAGTGAAACAAAAACTAACCTCCTTTGGAGGGAAGCAGATTCCAAGCGGCCCTGATGGGAGAAAGGAAGCTGGTCCTGTTTCTGGGATTAACAGGTATTTGATTTGTTCTCTTTATGTTTATATTCAATTAGAATGCACAAATATATATATAAAATCGATTCTGAATTGCCAACAGGGGTATGGGCATTCGCTAAGAGTAAAAAAGCAATTTTTTCTCATATGATATTCGTGGTGGCCGTCAACCTTCAACCTCTTCCATTCTAATGAAGTTGCAACGTCAATATTGGATATTGACAAGTACATAAAACTTCTTAAAACATCTCGTATCAGGCTCTTTTGCATGCATGCATACAAGATATGAAAGTTCATCAACTATGAAGTGTGAAAGTCAATTTTGTTACATCCCAAAATGCTGATATTGTCACAGATTGTTTATTTGATTGACAATAAAACTGTTGTAGGTTAAAGTTGTACAGTCAATATACCCGTGTTCCATATACAACAATGATTAGCTGTGTCGTTACATAGTTCTGTTCGGCATCATTTGCCAACTCTTGGTCATTGAGAAATGGTTTTCATTATCTTCACCATCCAATTATTGATTGTCATTGTGAAAGTATTTTATTCTAATTGGTTTACTGACCCCAAAGTTTGGTTGGTCAACCAACATTAAACCATTATTAGTGGCCAAATTGAAGCCCTTTAGCTATTACATGTTGGTTGTTGGAAGTTATATATTGTGACAACATTGTATAGGTAGATAATGATGTTCACTGATGGTGAATCAACCAATCTTTAGAGTTTTATCAGCCCACCAAAATCGAACTCTTTAGCCGCCAATATTTGGTCGTTGAAGGCCTTCACTGATGGTGGATTAGCGATCACTCAACGACCACAACTTTTTGGTTGCTAAAGGTCTTCAGCGACTAGGAAATAACCTTTAGCAACCATGTTTTTTGGTCGTTGGATGTGTGGGGATTTTTATTTTTTATTTTTTTGGTAGTGCAATTAAATGTAAGACCAAATCGAGGCTAATTCACCAATAATAACTTAAAATCTTATTTAAATTTTAAACCAATGCAATTTAATTTTGCGATAATAACTTAAAATCTTATTTAAGTTTTAAACCAATGCAATTTAATTTACTTATCAAACATATATACATCCTTTGAGACCTCACACACCTATGTAAACAAAAACTAGATTGCACATTGTAACATGTGTGAATGCGATTCGAGAAAGTTTTTACTTTTAAGTTCATGTTTGACAACTATTAAATCTTTAGTTTTTATATGCTTATTTTCAACCAAATATTACACAATATTTTGCACATAAATCCTAAAATTTTCCTTATCTTTTCATGACACATTTTCCTAAAATTCACTGTTTAAATCCCAAATAATGGTCATGAAAAATGGGCAAAGCATTGTCCACTTTTTACTTGATCAGAGATTAATGCAGCGTGTTGTTAGTACAAGATACGTTAACATTATTTTGTAAGATTCACATAATAGACGTTACAAAATTTTACGTTGACTATCGATCCTCAATGCACTTTCCTTTATCTAGCTCCAATTTGACAAAACTTTTTCAAATTATAAGTTGATTAATCTCATGAAATGTGTATTTAAATAGTAGATAAATGTCTTGGGTTCAGTAAAATGTGTGGTTAAAAGTAAAGCCCTCGTTTGACCCCATCAAATTAAATTTCATTTTTCTCTTTTCTATTTTAATCACACAATTTTCTATAAAATAATATTATACATAAACCGAAAACCTTTCTTTCTTTTTTAACCACTCATTTTAAAAAAAAAAATACTATTCCACCCATTTTAATTTGGAAAAATGGGGGCCAAACGTGTGCAAAATTTAACCTGCTTAAAATCTGAAAAAAGTTTTACCAAACAAATGTCAGTCTTGAAACAACATACACATTATTGATTTTAAATAAAAATGTTTGTTTTAGATTTATTTTGAATGGATCCTAATTTTGAAGGAAGTTTACCAGGCGACGGCTTTCATTTCCAACATCTGCTGCCAAATGGAATCTTGATTAGCTTCCTAATTTGCTGCCTTATTCGGCCAATACCAAACAAATCCCACATAACTCAGAGGTTTCACTCTCTTTTTTGACCGAGTCCCATATAATCTTTCGACATAAGTTAACAAGTATAAATAAATAAAATTATTTATTTTTAAGAAATTAAAATTTTCGAAAATTAAATTTAAATAAATAAATAAATGTATTTTCACTCTAATAGCGCAATAACCTAAGCTTTAGGATATACAATGGTGCTTGGTACGACTCTCAACTCTATCTATTTATACAGAGTGAATTGTTCAAATGGTCACTAAATTTTGTAAAAAGTTTTCAAGGTGTCATTAAACTTTAAAAATCACTTAAATGGTCACTAAACTTTGCACAAGATTTCCGAGGAGAAACCTTGCAAAGTCCTGGAAAAACTTTTGCAAAGTTCAGTGACCATTTGGAAAATTCACTCATTTATACATGTTTTGGATTATTAGTTTATTACTACTACTAGAGCGAGCAATGCCGCGTTTAGCCGGCTGGTTCATCATTTTCGAGAGCTCTATATACAACTATATAAATCAAGGCCAGCTGAACCATAAAAGCATCCATCCTGCACAGGCAAAATATAGGCAAATTATAAGCAGTTTAAGCAAGGTTTCTATTGCATCAAACTAAGTTCTAAAATGTCTTCAACAATTTTCTTGATTGCATTTTTCGTCGCGATAGTTGCTTCTTCAGCTTTAGCGATCGAATATGTAGTTGGAGATGATGCTGGTTGGAAACTCGACTTCGATTATCAGAAGTGGGCTGAGGGAAAACAGTTTGTCGTTGGAGATAAACTTAGTATGCTTCTGCATTTTTATATTCCTTTTTAGTTTTTACTTATTTAAACTTAATATTGGTTTATACATCAACTTATTTTTAGTATGGATAGTAACATATTATCGTTTGAGTCGGTCTTTATCAAAGTGTTATTTCAAGTTGTGAGTTCACAAAATAACATTGAATAAGTGACTTGTCCGGGGTTAAAAATGGGGGAGTAAAGATACAGACTGATGTGTCAGAAAATGATTGGATATTTTTGTTTTAATTTTTCAAACTGTCTAATTATGCATCCACACATGTTCCATCTATATTTGAGTATGACTTTGAGCTTGGATGCATAGCATGATTGAATAACATTAGACTAAAAACTTTGGAGGAGAGTTCTTGTCGGAAAAAGTAACTCCATTTTTCCCAATTATTGAGGAAATACTAGTTTTTTTAGCCTGTTTTCGTCAATCTACAATATTTCTAATCGCAGATATTTCCTTTTCTACCTGCATTTCTGCAAATCTTTTGTGGTGAGATCAATTATCATCTTAATCATAGCATCTCTATGCAATTTTAAAATCACTTTGGTCCAATTTAATCTTTTGTAACAAACCTTATTCTTTTTCAGAATTGATAAAATTCTTGTTAATTTTACATTTTATATAATTCTACGGATTTTAACCTATTTTTCTGCTGCAGTTTTCAAGTACACAGATAAAACTCACAACGTTCACAGAGTAAATGGAACTGCTTTCCAGCAATGCATGGCACCAGCTGAAAGTGAGGCTCTAACTAGTGGATCTGATGTGATCACCCTAGCTACGCCGGGAAGAAAGTGGTACATTTGCGGGGTCGGGAAGCACTGTGCGAACGGAATGAAGCTTGCCATTACTGTTTCTGCAGAAGTACAAGCTCCGGCTCCAAGCCCGGTTTCTGCAGCAGATAAAGTCTCTCCATGGAAATCTTGTGCGTGGATGCTGGCATCAATGGCTTTCTTCAGGATGATGATGGCTTAATAAGAGACAGACCCAACTTCTTAATTTTCATGTTATGCCATTCTTTCTTTTCCTTTTTTTTTTTTTTTGTTGAATTCTGAATTGATATTTAGTAAATTTTATTTATATTTATTTTAAAATTTTTAAAAAAATTGTTAATTGAATTATGGCGATGTTAAATGAGTTAAAAAAAAAAAAGTAAGTTGCAAATGAAATAGAAAAAATCATATTTCATGACCTTCAAAAAATATTTTGCGAGTGAATATATGATTTGTACAAAAATACAACTATCGTCTAAAATTCTAGTTAATACTTCTTTTATTAATGTACTTCTACCCATTGCATTACGAAGAGGGAACTTATATTTAATCGAGCACATACCTACATGAAGTGTCGTATGATGTCCCAACAAAATAGTTCGCAAGATTCATGTAGTAGAAAGATATAACATAATAAACTCTCCGTTAATCAATCTCCAAACTGTATATTTAAGGTTCAAATTGTGATTGATTTTAGAGCCCAACTCGTGATTATCAAACGATCAAAAGTTAGTTAGGTGCTTGGTAAATTTAAGAAAAAATTAATTATAGAAAAATCTTTACAATCTAACAGCATTATGCTTTTAAAGTTTCGAATAATCTACAATTATAATACCAATTTCAGCCTTAATTAATATACTTCTTTTTATTGATATTACAAAGGTAATGGATCTTTCCGCCATTTATATTAATAGATATTAATTTTATAATGTTAAAATAATTATATGAATAATATTTTTAAAAAAATATTTGATATGATATGTATGTTGTTATAGAAGTAAAAATATATTTTCCAATACTATAACAATGATTATAATAAGATAAAAAAATATCATTCTAATCAATGCTCGTTTGAATAATTGTTATATGTAAAACAATAAATCATTTTTGTTCGCCATATGTCGATATTGATTTTGAATCATATAGTAATTCTAAAGCAAATGTTACCGTATACTTAACTGATTATTTATCAAATCGATTAATTATCTTGTAAGAACAATAATACCAAACCTCGACAAAATCTTGAATTCAATTTATAGTATCTTTTTTAATTCCCAATATATAGAGCACTTAAATCACCCATTCAAGCTTCATTGTCACTCCTTACATTCTAAATTTGATGAAAATACTAGGAATGACACTTTGTCCGGCGACAGCTTTCATGGCCAACATCAATTGCCAAATGGAAGCTAAATTTAATGACATCACAGGAGGACATATAAACCCTACATTATCAGTTACACACTTTGACCAAATCCTTAATTGTCACGAGTTAAGCAGAAGAAACGGGCTCAATGATAGGGCCTTTTTTCAAGGACCGACTTGACAGTTTTTTGTTTATTTTTTTAACTGTCAATAAAAATTTGTCAAGTATATGTGTGTCAAAAAATCCTATCATTGACCCTGCTTTTCCACAAAAATTCTATTGTCACATATCGATGCAATTATAAGTAGATAAATAAATATATATGACTATCTCTACTAAAATTTTTACGGTGCGGTTTTAGCTTGTTTACTGTTAATGAGTGAAATTACGCTGATAGCTGAGAATTTGCCGGGCATTTGACCTTTTAGCATTCTCTGAAGGTTACATGACTTCTAAATTTTACATTTCATATTAAAATTTTTCTTTTTGGATCATCTTGAAGATACATATATATTTGGACTAAGCCATAAGAAATTTATCGAATTGGCATTATTATTTTTTTTTATTACA